GAAAGCGGCCGTTGTGGCTTTTAAAAGCGGGGAGGTGGCTTTCAGCCCGTTTGTTCAGAAGGGCCCAGACCATCTTCTGAAGGTACAGCGGTTCCAGCACCGCCTGCTCCGGCCTGCTGGGAACGGCCGCAAGCGACAGTAAATGCCGTTAATGAACACGAGCAGTTTCCACAGGCTTTGCAGCGCTGTGAGCTTGCACCACACGTGGGAAGAGAAAATTTAGCACTGAAAAAGGAGAGATGCAAAGAAAAAGCATCGGCCTTCAACTCCAACCCAAAGAGTCTGCATTTCGGAGACAGAGGAAGCCTGTTTCAGAATTCAGAGACTGTTAACTTTACCTATGGTCGTGAATGCATCTGTGTAAGGTGGGAGAGGGATCACAGATACTCGTGTTGTGCATACACCAGAGCTTCGGTATGCTTTCAAGGGCAGAGCTGTGGGGCTGTGTACTGGGAGGAAAGGGTATTCAATGCAATCACTTCATTTTTGGGGAAGCTTCTTTTTCCTTTCACTTTTTTTCAAATTCAATCCAAGCACCGCAATAATGGCCCAAACATCCATGCCATGCTCTTTGGTCCCGCCAAGTGCCAGGTGCCTGCCACATGCCTGCCATCCAGCAAGAATTAAAGAAGGCCTATTCCACCCAAATACACATCAAGTTTGAGAAAAACATATGTGCCGTATTACTTTTGAAGGTTTCTTGTGGTATTTCAACATCTTACATACTTGGTTGTCTCACAAGCTGACGTTCTTCAATCTTCAAAATTTGTCACCAGCACCTTGCCCCTCCAGAATGGAGAAAAATAGCAGGGCCTGCTCCTTCTGCTGTTTGCTCAACTTGTGCTGCAGCCAAGGACAGCATCAACCAGCCGGCATCCCACTTGATACAACTGCAATGTTCTGGCAAGGACGGAAACGTGTTGGCCTCCTGCGTTCCCAGGCCCAAGCCAGGTGCTGAGCTCTTTCATGCCACCAGAAATGGGATGAAAGCAACCACACCACACTGCTCAAGCTAGAAGTCAGTAACACAAACAAGAAATACAAAAGACTCAAGTTTATTTGTTTTGGCACGCCTGCTACTGGAAACACAGCCTAGCAGGTCTTCCAGAATCTATTTAAAGCCCCCAATTACTTTTCCCTTTGGCTGCCACCTAGTATGTAAAATTTTTACAGTGGAACTAAAATGTCCCCAAGACATTGGCTTATGTAATGGAAACAGTAAGTCCTGCCTATATGAACTGGGAGCTATGGCACCAAATAAACCATTTCCTTCAGTCAGGGTCTTGTTTTGCAGTGTTAGCTACCACTCAGCCATAAAAGGAAGGGCTCAGAATCCATTGTTGCTAAGTTTATAAATTCACCATTTTTTCTGAAAACTACGAGTATGGAGTAACTTTCCCAGCGCTAGAATACAGGAACACACGAGTTACTGCACTGTTTAACATTTGTCGCATGTCAGTAGTTCACAGCCTGGTACTGTAGGCTTCAGCTGACTTTCTGCCCAACAGCTGGACTCAAAGCTGGGTGCTGGCCACACAGAATGGCACGTGAGTGAGTCAACCAACACAGAGCTGGCTAAAAGAAGCAAAGAAAAATAACACTTAATGGCTGCTGGCCAAGCAAAGCAGAACACATGAACACCGTGGGGCTGGAGCTGAGGCAGAGTAAAGTACAGGAAAACAGCGTCAGCTTCGCTGCCTAGTGCAACAGTCAGGAAGGATCCTGGATGTGCCTGGCTGAAGCTGGCACAGAGCAGTGAGTAGCTTCCACCTTGCTATTCCAGCCTCCACTCCAGGTACTGTTCTTCAGCTGACTAACAGGTGGCTTTGTGTCGTTTTGAAAGGGTCATCTATATTGCTGCACACCGTCTTGCAGAGCTCATACAGGGATTAAAAACCTTCAAGGGTAACAACCAGTTTTTAGAGTTTCTCTGCTCTGCAAAAACCAGAAGGCCTGAACTCGGCATTTGGAAGTGAAATGCTTCCATAGAGAACCTGGCCAAAGGCTGTAGCAAACCAGTTATTTCTGTGATAACTGACAGAGTAAGAGAGCGTTAATTCAACAGTGCTGTCAATGCCCTGTGGCATTAAACCTGTTCACAATTCTGTTTAATTACCTTTTTTTCTGATAATTGTCCATGAGAGTGCTATTACTTAGAACAGAGCGGTACTTATATCTCTTACAAAGAGCATCACAATTATTATTCGGTTTGCCATGTGCTTTCAAATGCCTTAGTCTATATCATCATTTCAGCAAAAATATCAAGATTGCTTTCTGGATCATCCTCAGGCTGCAATTCTTCATCATGATCCTTTGGAGAGGTGCGTACACCTTGTTCTCGAATCGTCTTTCTCTTCCTTCTGTGAACGTACACAGAGCAATTCTTCTCCATCTCTTCAGCAGGCAAGTTGTTTGTGCTGACAGCAGTTTTCAAAGCTAACTCTAAGCGTTTGTAGAATCTAGAAAGAAACAATTGTGTAGTTACTATTTTTGTAGGTTTGCTCAGGATCTGAAAAACTAGTCTGAGAAACTAATGCTTTTGTAATATAATCAAAACGTGTTAAGAAAATCATTGCTAACAGTGAAATGTTCTAGCCAACACTGGAAGAAAAATCAAAATAGCAGCACGTGTCCTTGTGTATGCCATGCACTTCTCTTCGTAATGCTAACGCACACATTAGAAATCAATTAGTGGATGCATTCACATGCCGTGAAGACCCCGTTAATCTTACAGAAACCATAAAATGGTGTAGGTTAAATGTCTGATGAATGCTAGCATTAACGATCAGATGGACTGCTACTATTAGCAATTACTTTTAACAGCTACAGAGATTTTCAAGGGACGTATAAAAAGAAATTGGTCTTGGTACACGCAGGTGCCTCTCCTTTTGACCCCTGTGGTCTTTGGCTCTTCTGCCTATTCTGTCCCTGAGCTGGAGGCAAATGTGAAGACACAAAGTGTGTGTAACCCTCCACCAGCTTCCTAAATCATCAGTTTCGGAAACTATACACAGTATTTAGTGGATTAAAGTGTGCACTGCAGTCTGAATACTTCTGAAACGGTCGCTGTGTTAGAATAATAAATAAATAAATAAATAAGCATTAGAAAAGGAAACTTCAAACCTACTCAGTAACAAAGACAGTCTGCAAACTCATCTTGTGTACAGGTTTTTGCCTGAACAGTTTTTAGTCTTCAGAGCTCAAAAAAACTAATTGAAATTGTATTTTAGATGTTGAGCGGGTTGTCTGGTTTTGTTTGTTTGTTCGTGTGGTTGTTGTTTTTTTTTTACATAGCCTCTCTCACTTCTGGATTTAGATGTCATGAATAGGATTGGTGTACTTTTACAAACCTGTCAATCCTCCTTCTGTTTTCTTCCATTTTCTGATTAGCTAAGTGTATCAGAAATTCAATATATTCTTCAGAGACCATCAATTTCCCGTTGTGGCTCAGTGGAACTTCTAAGCAATGAGTGCTCCGGACAGCCTAAAAAAACACAGAGAAGTATTTATCTAGAATGAAGTTTTTTATTTTATGAAGGTTATTTAAATAATATGGGGAGTTCATCACAGGAAAAAACCCACTTACCCACACAACGGGTTACTTTGCTACCAACTAAAGCAGAAAGATATTTCTTTGCTACAGCATGCCCTGTGATAACTGTTTATCATATTACAGTTCAGATCTTGGCTCGTAAAAATCAAGGTTAACAGTAACGGTACGATCTTGTTATGTTCCTTACAGGTAAGTAGAAAAGCCCTTACCATCACAATTTTTCCTCCTCTGCCAACCGTAATACCAGAGTTCCTGAACCCAGAGTCGATAGCCACTGAATGCTGCAGAACAAATACATGTGTTAAACAGGTGTTCTACACTTTCACAGCAAGAAATACTTATGGATGGGTTGCAATGAAGTTTATAATTGCAGCTGTGCAAAAAACTTGTTCAAAACCATCTCCCCAAATTAATGCGACAATAGTTACATTAAAATGTTTTTAAGATCAAACCCACAGAGTATCACAAATCGTGGTTGGTTTTCCAAGAACCACAGTCCATCCTGATCATCTAATCTTCCTCCGTCAGTGCAGATGGGACATTAACGCTTCTCTGGGCACTGTACTATTTTATCCTGAAGAGCTGGTAGCCGTGTAGACAGTCGTGTAACACTTTTATAGCTAAAAGTGCAGCACTACTATGAAAGAAGTTAATCAACACACTTCTACATTAGTGAAGGAAGAAACCTATCACACGTTACTCTCCAGAGTCATTCTGGAAAAGCAGAAGGCAAAAGTCCTACTTGGCTGAAATACTGGAGTCAAAGGGCCTGGCTGGTAGCAAAACGACATCTAAAAAAATCATCGCTTTCAGCCAGCAAAAGCAACCCAGGCTCACTGGGAAAAACTTTTTATGGGGCAACCTGCTTCAGCTCAAACAGTAAGGCAATTTTGTTTTCTAAAAAGGACAGCAAAATCTCTGCTAAGTTTAAAGCTGTATTTTCTTCATCAGCTTACTTTTACTACCCCAATTATTAAACATACAGCACATCTGGGTCTACTTTTAAGTGCTAAAGCTTACTCAGGAGCCAATACTTTCACTTTTACAGCAAGTAATAACAGAACAACAATGTAACATTGTTACTTCATGTCATTTTACCAGAAGCTGTGCATCTTGCAGCTCTCGACACAGCACATGAAGAACAAATGGTTCAAACTTCAGCACAACGTCACCAGTGGCTTTCTCTAGTGCTGTCATCTGGAAAATACACCAGAACATTTATATTTAAACTGCAAATACCTACTGTTGCTACAAAAAGAAAAAAAAAAAAAAGAAAATAGCTAGTCAGTGTGTGAAACAAGCATTAAAAATGCAGCAATTGAGCGCCAAGCAATCGGGTTTGTTCAGCTGCTTTTGACTTTTCATTGCTCATAATACATAGAAATCCCATGGATTTCCATGATTCTGTTTGCTAAACTGATTAGGTTTGATAGCAATTCATAGCAAGATAGACTTTAAAAAGTGTGCTTCCCTGTTTATTTCTTTGTAGATTCGAAAGAACTGATACAGTCAGTACAGCATGGGAAGAGGACTGTTTTACTGCAATCAGATGAAACCCGAGCACGTTCTTTATTTTTTTTTTTAAACTGTTCTTTAAAATCAAAGACATTCAGATTCTGAAGTACATTCCTCAACTTCAAAAATCTTTCTGGAGTTCAGCATATTAAATTCATGGCCTAACATACTTGAACACATTTTAATCCTAGTTTAAATAATAATGCACAGCCTACTGTATAAGACTTCTAAAAAATTCAGAGTTGAAACAAGAGGTATAAACCCACAAGGAAAAAAAAAGAGGAAAGTAACTTCACAATTATGAAATTGAAGAAATTCCCTTCAGATTCCTCAGTTCTGCTACAAGACTGAGAAGCTAATGGAAATTTTGCCTGGATTTGTGAGTGTGGAGAAAACTGTATGACATTCTGCATAGGTTATTATTACAATTTCTCTATTTTCCTATGGTGTCTTTTTTCAGAGCAATCTTAACGGCCGCTATTACTTTTGCCATTCAGAAAGATTGCTTTGAGGGCAGTTATATCACTTATTTCATTTTATGATTATTTAATCACAAGCACTATTCCTGCCCCCTTCTTGTTTGCCTTCACTTGCTTAATTCTCAGCACTAAGAAATTTGCTGCGTTAACTCGAGAAACTTCAGCTGTTTTCCCATGCTTTGTTGTTTCATCTAGCACTTCTCATCTTTCCTGTAAAATGAAAATATTCAACAAAATCATCAGGCAATAATCAAATTTGTATGATTTTTTTAAGACATGATGGCATAAAGGAAAACTGCTGAAGTAACACTCTCTCCTTTCCTCTAAACTTTGACAAGTATTTAAATGTATTTATGCGGGACCTCCTCCATATTCTTATTTTAAGCTGAAAGAAGGTCTTTCTGAATGGCTAAGTTTGTAATTCGTGTGCCAGATTTCACAAAATGCCCAAGTAACCCCAGCTGTGCTCAAGCGGATGAGAAGCAGAGAGGACCCACGCTGCACAGCGCAGTGCTCCACCGAAATGCCTGAGCTAACCTGCTCAGCACGGCCCCGCACCACACGCTGTCCGCCCGGGCCGTGTGGGTCCCAGCAGGAACGTGAACCCACGCCGCAGCCAGCATTCACCGTGCGTACTGCGGGCTGCGGCCTGCCATGGACGCAGGCGTTCCCACTCCAGGCACGCTTCCGCGACCCCCCTTCAGACATTGCCCGTGTTTGGGAACTCTGCTCCAGCCACCGGAGCAACGCGTGCCCCGCTGCGGCAAGCGGCTGAGCCAGCCAGACTTCTCCCCTAGACAAGCATGTTACGAGCTGCGACCGGTGCGCGTGACATCGGCGAGGGTGTTTCTATGCGTTTCTGTTTCCCTGAAAAGGCTAAGTAATTTAGCAGACACTCTAGAGGTAGCCTTTCAGTGAGAACACAGCTAGTTCAGAAAGTCACTCTGACTGAAATCATCTACGTGTACTAGCACTGCCCCAAAGCTGTTTTACAATACTTGTTTCCTCAAAAAGCTTATTAATAGAACAAAATATTTTCAGTAAAGGTTTTTTATTATCTTACTGCATCTAGACCATTAATTTCACGCAAACTCAGTTTAATAGGAAAACACTGAAAGTAGTTTTCTATTGAGCCCCATGAATTCCGAAGCCCTGATTTGCTCCCAGTGAAGCTGAAAACACCCGACGGCAATAGGATTAGGCCCCTCACCTCTGAAGAGTCAAAGTCTAACTGCCGTCATGAAGCGACAGAAAGCACCCATCAGTGATACGTAAAAAAATCTCACACAAATGAAAACCCCTCTGTTCAAACAGAGGAACAAATATCCTATGTTCATACCGCTGAGGTTAATATACGCAGTGAGGTCAAACGATCCCACAGCTGGAAAGCACAACACACGGCATGCAAGAGCCTGACTTCTCATTTCCTAAACACTGCACTAGCAAAGATTTGTCATACATTATAGTACTTTAAAAATGATTCAAAGACTTTTTTCTCACACTTGCATTTCATGCATTAAAATTCCAGTCTACGCGTTAAAGGGAACAGGAAAAGTAAAAATATTTCCTCTTGTAAGAGTCAGCAACAACCTACTGTGTCCTGCTCAGCCTGAAATGTACTCATGGAAATTTCAGCAAGATCTACTTTGCTAGAACACATAGTAATGAAGAGAAATATTTTGTAGGGTTTGTTGTGCATGTGTGCGAATGTATGCATATGGTAAAGTGGGCTATGCACGAGTGAGAGAATTCTGATCTCGTAACTGCTTCTTTTTGGGGCAAAGCAGAGATGTCTGCAGAGAGCAGACTATTCTGAAAGCATACTAAAAAAAACCCCACGTTGTTTTTGTGTTTTTTTCTTTTTTAGATTTCAGGGGATTTCAAGATACTAAATTAAAAATGCAGTATAAGAGATTCATGGTTACACTAGTTTCAGGTGTCTGTAAACGAAAGGCTGTCACTGCAGCAAGGTGGGCTCAAGATAGTTTTTTTAACTCCAGACAGTTTTCACTGCCTTGAAGGAGTCAGTTACTACAAAATGAACACATTTGCTGCCGTGCTTACATGTCTACATTTAACGGAAACAAAGGAATTAATTTTGGTTACTTCTGGAATTGCTGACCACAACAGCAAAGCACGAATGGTCACAGCTTATGAAACAGTTAATGAGGATAACCCAAAATACTTGTTAGTCCCAGCTGACCCGTTCTGAAAGCGGCGTTACAGCTACTGCAATGAAGGTGCACGTCAGACCCCGACTGCTGGAGGACGGGACGAAGGCCACGCTGTCCTGCACCCGTGTCCCGCAGCAACGCTGCTGCTCGAGGAAGCACCGTCTCAGACGCTGCCTGACACAGAACTTGGACGAGCCGGACGCCTGGCTTCACACGACAGATGTCACCGCGGTGTTAGCGAGGAGCGTGCCGACCCCGCGCAGCCCGGTGCAGCCTCCAGTGCCCGGCTGCTCGCTGCCCCGAGACCACCAAGCGCTCTGCGGAAACGGACGGCGCTTTGCTTTCGGACAGGAAGGCTTTTAACCCGAACCTGGTCTGCAGCTGACACCTGGCCGGCAACCCGGCAGGGAAGGAGAACGCAGAGCGGACACAAAGCCGCAGGAACGCGCAGCCCCAGAAGAGGAAGGGCATCTCC